GTACAAATGCGCTTTACACAATTGATGTGTGTATGGATTGGGATAACAGTTGTATGAGCCCCTAATAAAATGTTAAAAAAGAAAAAAAAAATTTACAGGATAGTCCAGAAGGCCTTCTAAATAAAACATTGTGTGACCAATAAATTAAAAAAAAATAAAATAAAATAAAACAGCGGTCCTCAACCTGTGGGTCGCGACGCCTTTGGGGGTCGAATGACTCTTTCCCGGTGTTGGCCTGATTCATAACAGTAGTAAAATGACAGTGATGAAGTAGCAATGAAAATAATTTTAAGGTTGGGGGCGTCACCACATGAGGAACTGTATTAAAGGGTCACGGCATTAGGAAGGGTGAGAATCACTGCTCTAAAACAAAGTAACCCTTTCTATGAATCCAAGTATAGTCAGGAAAAGCATCTCTGAATTGGTAACGTGTGTGTGTGTGTGTGTGTGTGTGTGTGTGTGTGTGTGTTTTAATAGCACTTTGAAAAGCAGGCTCTTTTGCTCTGTGGAGTACACCTGTGAAACGGAAGGGCTGGCTGTCAGAGGGGTTCCACCTGAGTTTCCCACCTTGGGTACAGCCTTTCTATCCCTCACTGTAGTGGAAACATTTGAGTTCTCTTCCTTGGCAGGTTTCCCCACGCACAGACTCTGGCTATTTCAGGCTTCCTTGCCAGAGTCCTGGTTCATGGAATGGACACGCGGTGCTGCTGATCCTGGGGGTTAATGCTGAAAAGATGGCAGAGTCCGGAAAGAACACGAGGAAGGGGATCTTTCCATCTCTCTGGCCTGTGCCCGGGCACTTCACCACTTGTGGTGCCACTGCTTTTTGGAGCATTATTGACAGTTCATCCAGGATGTGGCAGCATGTGTTAGTTTTAGTGTGGATAAGTGACATTATTAAAGAACCTGTACAGCGACATTGATTTAAGTGGATGAAACCTCCAGCGATGCTCATTGGTAGGTTTGGGTATTTACTCCTAGTGCAGTGACCGACTAAGGAGTATAAAACTTGAGGAGCTCTGGTGGGGCCGTGGTCACGTGCTCGGAGGCTCACCCCGAAGGTCAGTGGTGTGCATCCACCAGCACGCCAGGGGAGAAGGAAGGAGGAATCCGTTGCGGGGCCCTGTGGGGCAGCCGCTCGCAGTCCTGTAGTTTGGGCATGGGTGGGACTCGACAGGAACGATGGCTTGGGTTGTTCTCAATGATTTGCATGGATTCCTTTTGGCTGCTTGAGCTCTCAAGGCTGCATCCTTCCCCGTGCTGCCCTCCACGTGGAGAGCCAACCACACATAACTTTCCCTTTAAATCTCCCCTCCTTTGTATCTGTCCCCGTCACACCTCCCTTCCCTCCATACTTGCTCCCGTGTTAACTTGCTCTTTGTTTTAAGACAAATAGGATCACACACCTAATGTTCTGGAACATACCTTTGTGTGTTTTAAAATTTACTTATAAATAATTGTTAAAAGGTCAAACTATACAGAAGTATTTAAAGTAACAATTAATGTTCCCCCATAACCTTCTCCCCTCTTCTCCAAAGGCAGCCCCAGTAAAGATGCATACATGGTAAGCACTTAGTGTTTGTCCCATTACGCGTCTTGTGTGTATGTGCACATGTACATGTTTCATTTTATACAGATTGGATGATGATCTGCATGTTATTTTGTGGCATAAATTTATAGAACAATAATAATTAAGTTACATAATAAACACACAAAATAATCAATGGCTAATATGCTTTCTCACAACAGCCTACTTAATAATGGGTATTATGACAGCAGAGGAGTCCCAGGGTGGTACATAGGGTGATGCTTCTGGTTGCAAACCCAAAGACTGGCCGGCCGCGCCTACCACCGGTGCCTTGGAAGAAAGGCCTGGTGGCTTCTGAGAACTTAGCCTTTGAAAACCCAGTGAAGCCAGTTCTTCTTTGACACCGTGAGCCGGCCACGAGTTGGAGCCGACTCCGTGACCCTGGCTCCTTACCGCTGAAGGAGAGAGGCTGAAGTAACTCTCCTTCCTGTGCTCAAAACAGGTTCTTTCCATTAATGACCAAAGAGCTCAAACCCAAACTTGTTGCCCTCGGGTTGATTCCAGCTCATAATCACTATCCAGGACAGACTAGAACTGCCCCCACTTCTTGCTCCAGAGCAGCAACCCTGCTGGCGTGTTTGAACCCCGAATCTTCCTGTTAGCCCAGCATGTAACACACTCTGTGCCTCTTAGGCTTGGGCCAGAAAGCCATAGAATACTTTAATAACTAGGTAAGCGTTTGAGTAAGTTACACCCATGGTGGAAACATTCACAGATTCATGGCGTGGCTAGCATGTCAGCATTGTTAAGAGTGTAAAAAGCATGGATCATCGAAGCTGGGAAATACAGTGTAGGTATTAATCTGACGAGATGCAGAGAGAGTGAAATAAACAAGGGGTAGACCAGCACATCCCACTGTGCAAAAGAAGAAAGACCTTTAGAGTGCCTGCTCCAGCCACGTGGCCGGCAGCGAGGTATATCCTCGCTCTTTTCCATGGGGCGCCCTTTCCTTGGTGCCCGGAGAACAGCTCACTTAGGTTCCCAAGAGCCTGGCACTGCCAGGCGGTGGGCCTTTCTCTCATTCCTCAGGGCTCATCCACCACAGGGGGGTGGGAGGGGGTGGCGTAAAAGGCTGGGCCATTCTCGCCCACGTTGTTGTATTTTCTCTCGTGAGAAATGCCTGTTGTTTAACTTTGCTAATAGAGCCCAGAGCAGAGGTTCTCAACCTGTGGGTCGCGACCCCTTTGGGGGGGGTCAAACAACCCTTTCACCGGGGTCACCTGATTCATAACAGTAGCAAAATCAAAGTTATGAAGTAGCAACGAAAATAGTTTTATGGTTGGGGGGTCACCACCAGATGAAGAACTGCATTAAGGGGTTGCAGTGTGAGGAAGGTCGAGAACCACTGGCGCGGAGGAAGCCTGGTTCTCTGTGTCTCACTGCTCTCACCAGATAGGAGACGTTATAAGAGGATGCCTTCCCTGTCAATCTTCTGGGCTGTGACGGTCACTTTCATGTGCCTTCATCTTCATAATCACTACAGGGATGTCATGGCAGTGGCCAAACCACGTGCAGGCCCTAGGAGGTGCAGGCCCTGACGCACTCCGTTGCTGACCCCAGCGCCGGCTGGGGTCCAGTCTACCTAGAAGGAGGGCTGTGGAAGAAAGTGTGGCAATTGACCTCAAAACCAGCCCCTGCTACCCTGTGGAGAATAATTATAACACATGATGGTGTATATATATATATACCATCATGTGTTACAATTATATATATCTCTATATATAATTATATATATATATATAGAGAGAGAGAGAGAGAGAGAGGAGAGAGGTGGCTGCATGGCGGTGGAGTTGGTAAAGACTGTAACGGGTTGGGCATGGGCACTGTTGGTAAAGACGCCCCTGCTGTGCCAGGGTCAGCCTTCTAGTGATTTCATCATGCTTGAGATCCTCAGGGAAGGAAAGAGATGGCTGGGTGGGGCTTGTGGTGTTGGGGCTTTTGGGTGAGTGACTATATTCTAACCCATAAAGAAATAGCTCAGCATTTTATCATGGTCAGTGCCAGCTCTCAGCCCTGGGTTTGATGTGAACTATGTCTTACAGTTATCGTGAAGATTCAGTCAAGCTTCAGTTCGAAATCACCAGCTGCTCCGAAAGAGAAAGGATAGGGCTTTCTACTCTTGTAAACAGTTAAGCCTTGGAAACCCACGGGGGCAGTTCTGCCTTGTCCTCTAGGGTCACTGTGAGTTGGCATCCACTAGGTGGCGGGGAGTTGAGAGTTCCTGCTAATGGAAGGGCAGTGGTCAGACCCCCTGCTGCTCAGAGAGAGATGTGACCATCTGCTCTTGGAAATCCTACGAGCAGTTCTGCGCCCCAGTAGGGCCGCTCTGAGTCGGAATTGATTCGGAAGCACCAAGTTGGGTTTCTTGGTATAAACAACTTAGGAGATGAGTGACTGGGGACTGATCCCCTTCCCTTTACTCTCTTTTCCATGGTTTTGATTGATGTTAGGAATGAGCTTGATGCTCTGCCACGGATCTTGCATTCCATTTGGTAAGATGTTTTCATGGGCCTCTTGGCAGGAATGATTCTGAATGGGGTTTTCCATAGAAGCAGTGTTGGAAGAGCAGCAAGGGGAGCAGAGCAATGAAGTCCCTGGGGAATACCAAAAATAGACTTTGGGGCCAGGGCGTGGCACCCCATCTGACTCGACCAGAAAACATGCCTAAAGGCCAACAAACAGACCTGGAACTATTTATAGACTTTTCTTTTGTTGTTTGGGTTTTTGGTTTTCTTTTGTTGTTTTGCTTTGCTCTGCCTTGTTGTTTGGTTTTTTTTGTGCTTATTGTTGTATCTGCATGTCTGTCTAGATAAGATAGGCAGGACAAACAATCTGGAGGAGAACATAATGGGACAGACTTCCCAGAGGGGATATGGGGGAGGCGGGGCAAAGGAAGTAGGTGTTAACAACCCCAGGGACAAGGGAACAAGTGATCTAAAATAGATGGCAAGGAGGGTGTAGGAGGCCTGGTTGGGCTTGATCAAGGGCAATGTAACAGAGGAATTACTGAAGCCTGAATGAAGGCCGAACATGGTAGTGGGACAAGAGGAAAGTAAAAGGAAATAGAGGAAAGAACTAGGAGGCAAAGGGCATTTATAGAGGTCTAAATACAGTCATGTACATATGTAAATACATTTACATATAACAATAGGGAAATAGATCTATGTTCATATGTTAATGTGTTAAGTATCAAGGTATCAGATGGATATTAGGCCTCTACTCAAGTACCCCCCCAATGCAAGAACACTTTGTTCTACTAACCTGGCATTCCATGATGCTCAATTTTCCAAAATGATCGCTGAAGACAAAATGGGTGCATAGAAAATGTGGTGAAGAAAGCTGATGGTGCCCTGCTATCAAAAGATAGTCTGGGGTCTTAAAGGTTTGAAGACAAACAAGTGACCATCTAGCTGAGAAGCAACAAAGTACACATGGAAGAAGCACACCAGCCTGTGTGATCACGAGGTGTCGATGGGATCAGGTATCAGGCATCAAAGACCCAGAACAAAAAATCATATCAATGTGCATGAGGGGGAGTGCGGAGTAGAGACCCAAAGCCCATTTGTAGACAATTGGACATACCCTTACAGAAGGGTCACAAGGAAGAGACGAGCCAGTGAGGGTGCAGAATAGCACTCATGAAACTTTCCTCTAGTTCTTGAATGCTTCCTTCCCCCCACTTCATGATCCCAATTCTGCCTTACAGATCCAGCTAGACCAGAGCATGTACATGGGCTGGAAACACAGGGAATCCAGGACAGATTAACCCCTCAGGACCAATCATGAGAGTAGTGATACTAGGAGGGGAAAGGGAAGGTGGGGGTGAGAAAGCGGAAAATGATCACAATGATCTACAAATAACCCCCTCCCTGGGGGATGGACAACAGAAAAGTGGGTGAAGGGAGACATCAGTCAGTGTAAGACGTGAAAAAAAAAAAAGATAAATTATTAAGGGTTCATGAGGGAGGGAGGGTGGGGGAAGGAGGGGAAAAATAGAAGAGCTGATACCAAGGGCTCAAGTAGAAAGCAAATGTTTTGAAAATGATGATGGCAACAAATGTACAAATGTGTTTGATACAATGTATGTATGTATTATGAAAAGAGCTGTATGAGCCCCTAATAAAATGATTAAAAAATAAAATAGAAAAGAAACCATGTTGGAATTTGGTGACTATGTCTTAACCTTTTTCTCTTGAATCCTCAGGTTTATATTCTGTGGTTGGAACTTTACTCCAAGAAAAGGACCTGAAAACTGATAGGACTTCCCAATTTATTGCATTTAGAAGGTAAAGCATTTATAATAACTTAAAGTTTTTAATCTATCTTATGAATCGTAGAACTGAACCTTTTGTTAGTGTGGCAGGGAGCATTTCCCGACAGGGCTCTCGCTCTATCTCCATTCTATTTGCAAACTCACAAGAAATGTGACCGGGACAAAAAGCTTTATGTTCACATAAAGACTGCAGAAGACTTGTTTCATGGCGGAAGGGCCCGGAAGCTTTTTGCATGGACTCATCGGTATCATCATTGCTGATCACAAAACAACACGCAGCAGGTTCCACTGTGGTGACCTTGCATGTTCATGTGTTTCAGGCAAGACTGCGATGTAATCAACCACTGCTGTTGTAAGCACTACACAGGCCACATGATCAAGTGAGTACTTTAGCAACACGGGAACACTAAGGGCAGCCCTTCCTTGCTTTGCTGGTTCTTGTCTTGTGTTTTCTCTGAAATTTGTGTACTGGAGCCACATAGATGAAATCGCACCCCCCTTCGCCCCCCCACCTATCTCTTTTGTAGAGTTAGTTTAAGTATCTCATCAATTTGAATATGGAACCCACTGCCCTGGGGTCGGCTCCCGCTCACATCGAGCCTGTGTAGGGTGTCTGAGGCCCTAAATCTTTTTTTTAAAAATATGTCATTGTACTGTAACAGTTTGTTTTTAACTTTGTATTGTGCATTAGTTCAATGTTTAGAGCTCAGATGATCAGTTTTACATTCAACCAAATGCTCATTTTTCTCCCACCCAGCCATTTCAATCCCCTTAACATCTCATTGCTCATGCCATTCCTTCCTCCGGGTTTCCAGTTTTCATTCCTTCGGGAAGCAATCTCTTCTTTTTCCCACAGAGCAAGCAGCTGGTGGGTTTGAACCTGCGGCCTTGCAGTTAGCAGCATAAATGCTTAACCCACAGCGCCAGCAGGGCTCCTTCCATGCAATATTGGTCTCTAGACAGATTGACCTCAGCAATGTCAGTGTAGTGAGAGGAGGATGGAGGAGTAAAATCTCGGTGGTTTCCAAGCTGGCCAACTCTAGCATCCCCAAGAGGAGCTTGGAGCAAGCAGGGGAGTTGTAAAACCTGCGGTTTGTAACTGGTGCTTCTGAGAACCTTATCTGCAGGCTGCTGGCCGGAAACACACCTTTGTGAGCATCCCTTAGAGAAAGGTGGGTGTGAGTAGGCGCTCACACCACAGAAAGGTACTCATTCCCCCGGCACTCACACACACCTCCTGTTTGCTGAGTTCAGAGAACCCAGCAGCCTGCAGAATACAGTAGGAACTCCTCACCCGCCGACTGTGTCAAGGAGCTGAACACCCGGTTGAAAGGCCACACAGTCTGGGTCCTCACAAAGGGGAGTGTGGGCAGACACCGTCACCTCTCTAAGCGTCAGCTTCCACACACATGGAAAAGAGAATGTGAGTCCAGTTTCCCCGCTTCACAGAGTTGTAGTCAGAGCAAATGAAATAATATGCACACGCGAAGCAGTTGGCACACTCACTGCATGTCACCAGCTTTCAGTCAACATGCGCTGTTCTCCTGTCAGTGGAGAGCTGCACAAGGGCTGTGGGAACAAGGATGAAGGCGTGCTCCTTCCACTGGGCACGGGTGTCCAGAAGGGTTTTATAAGGAAATCACAATGGAGCTTGGTCCTGAAAGATGAATTAGAGACGCCCCCAGGGGAAGCATGGGGCTATATCTGACCTCCTCCGGCTCCCAAGGCTGAGAGATCGGACATCCCTCCTCTACCCTCCATCCCTCCTCCATTTCTATTCTACTCTGACACCAGCGCTCCCTCCAGTGGCTGGGTTCAAGAGTTCATTGTAGTGGCCACACACAACTCACAGATGATACTCATGATTAAGGGGATTTTTTTAGGGAAGTTAACAGGTTACAGGTTTGGGAGGAATGCTCAGGACACAGTTCTGTCCGGACCATTTGTTCTCGGCTGTGCCCCACAGCCACTTGGCATGGCCTTACTCTGGTCCCCAGACACTTGGCCTAGCCTTGACCCTGCTCAGGCAGTGTTACAAAGTTCTTTCAGGGATGCCAATAAATGCCCACAGGGTGTGCCACGCTACCGTAAACCTCAGCTCTGGCACCAAGGGTCAGCAAACCCAGCTCCCCTAATTCAGCAACCAGAGGCACCTTATTCCACAAGCCAGCTCCCCGACCCCCAACACTCAGCTTGACTTACTCTGTGGCCAGGGATGTCCACCACTCTGTCTCATGGCTCCGTAGTCGCTGCTGCTCCTCCGCCACTGCCTAGGTGTCACTTCTGTCTCCTGTGTCAAGGAGGTCCAATGCATGGGATCTCAGAGTTCAGAGGATGTGTATTGCCCCTGGCTCCCCTCTTTGGCTGCTGGGGTAATCCCCACATGCTGCTTCTGAGACGGCTCATGTTCTACCAAGCAGGATGGGAAACTCAGTTAACTATGTGAACAATCACCCACAGCTGCGTGATATCGTCTAAGTATCTTCCCCCACCTTCTTACCCAGGCCCATCAGGGGAAAAAAAAAAAAGCTGTGGCTAGAAGAGTCATAATAAACAATTCACTGCATTGCACCGAGCAATTCATAAAGACAAGTTACATTTTTTTTCTTTTTCTCTAAGGGCCAGAAAACCTGTTTGGCTATAGTGGAAGGCCGCCCACGCAAGCTAGGCACCGTGGAAAGAGGCTAGGCTCAGGCACTGCGGTCATGGCCTGCTGACAATGTTGATTTTTCAGACGTAGTGGTGGCATGTTCAGATCTGTGTGCACACCTCCACAGGTGGTGTGGAGGCTGGATTAGAGTGGAGCGAGAACAGGACAAAAGATGACAACAGCCAAGAGATAAATGAGCACGCGAAAGACATTGTAGAGGAGACGATGAATTTAAAAGAGAATCGGTAGGGGTTTCGGTAACTTTTAGAATATTGGGCCAAGAGTAATTTAGTAGTGCTGTCAAAATGTCTCACATGAAAACGTTAGGTTGGTGTCTGGTTATGTAGTGTTGCTGATGGTCTCAGCAAGCAAAGATACCCCTCACAGTTTTGGAGACTGGAAGGCAGAATTCCGTGCGGGCTCTCGGCGCTCTCATTCGGTCGGCCCTGGAGGAAGGCCCTTCCTTGTCTCATCTGAGTGTGTGCTCCTGCAGTCTGCTCGTGGCTTCCAGCTCTCATCCTTCTGTCCGCCTCATCTGCTCTTTTCATCTCTCGTAAGAAAGTAACGCAAACCGTGCTCTACACCAATCCTGCCTCATTAAAATAACAGCAAGCTCGTGCCCAAATGGGATTACAGAGGTTCGGGTTTCCAGCACACATACTTCCAGGGGAAACGATCCAGACCAGTTGAGAAATAACACTGGGCTTAAGGGGCTGAAAGGAAGCAATCGGACAGCAGCTTATGGGGACATGATTTCTCTTTGACCTTAGGAAAGTAGAAAGAATGGGTGAATTATTTTGAGAGCTGGATTGGCCTGAGTGTTTAAACAACATGACATTGAGATTTTCCAAAGTTTGATGCCATACCTTCATTTTTTTCACCCAGAGACCATCAGAATAGACTTGTGTTTGGAGTTGGTGATAAAATTTGTTGTACCAGGAATGCCTATCTCTCTGACTTACTCCCTGAGAATGCCTCTGAAGATCGGTCCCCAAGTGAAGACCTGGGTGGCACCTCTCGTGATTTTGCTAAAAATAAAAAGGGCAACTTTGAAAGCGATATTCGACTATGCAATGGAGAAATATTTTTCATAACAGAAGTAAGTGATAATGGAAAATAGTACCTTTTATTAAAAAATCTATTATGGAGATATATATTTATTGTCCTAAGATTGATTGAGAAACATTATCAGCGTTAGCATTCTTCTTGTATTCGTGAAGGATTTCTGCATCCTGTTCACGAAAGATCTTTCTGTATCCAAACCAAAGCAGTCACTGCCACAGAGTTGCGTCCGACACTGAAACACTCGCTGTCTTTAAGCCAGTTCTAACTCACAGTGGCTCCTTAGAACAGGGTAGAACTGCCCCTGTGGCTTTCTGAGATTATCAAGTCTGTATGGGAGCAGAAAGCCTCGTCTTTCTCCCTCAGAGATATTGGTGGTTTTAAACCACTGACCTTGCAGTTAGCAGCCCAGGGTACAACCCAGGATACCACCAGGGTTCCTTCTAGCCCATAACAGCCCTCTAAGACAGAGCCGGACTGCCAGCCTTGAGGTTAGCAGCCAAACACATAACCCACTAAACCACCAGGGCAGTTTTCTTGTAATATCTTACCTTGTGTGTGTGTGTGTGAGAATAATATTGGCTTCATCAAATGTATTTTAAAAGCGTCCTCGTATATTTTCTGGGAGAGTTTGTGAAGAGATGTCTTTACCAATCTTGAAGTGGGCGAGTTACAGAAAAACAAGGCCCAGATGAAACACTATATTTGCTAGGCTTTCATCTCCTTGGTTGCTGCTGAAATATGGAGTGCCAAAGCAGTGGTCACCTTGCTTTTGTTCTCATTGTGCCAGTGTACCCCGGCACTGCCCTCACCGTCTTCATTAAAAGCTGGGAGTGAAGAGCAGGGATTTTCCTGCAGAGATGGAGACTTACACTCTCAGGACAAACAGTGAAATACACAGGCTTCAGGATCCGGAAACACAGCTGCCCATCCTTCAGGGAGTGGCTATTAAAGCTTAACTTTCAGGAACTAAAGCTTTTATTTGTGTCTATTAAAATAGTTTTAGGCGCAGGTAGAGCCGCAGCTTGAGTTTACCTATAGATCTGGTTAGTGTTTTGAAATTCTTAACCATCGTCGTGAATATACGTGGTATCTTACTTAGAAGGGGGCTGCATTTTATGTTCGAACCTGAGATCATGTCTCTTTACTGTGTGACTCTGTAAAGACGTGGAGAATAATCGCACTTCGTTTTGGCAACAGGATAAGACTGATCTGACTATTGGAAAGAGAAGATATCTGACCATTAATAATTACGCTGGCTTGGAAGTCACCGTGGATTTTAGAAAACTAATGCAATTTTGTCGCATACGACATTCATGGGCAAGAACTATTCACACATTCCAGGTAGGAGTGGAATTGGTGAAATTATTTAAATTGCTTGGCGTAGAGTGCATTCTGCTGCTTTTTATTGCCATATTATGCCCCCCGCCCCAGTTGGGAAATAAAATGCACAAAAATAATATGGACATGAATCTTCGGCTCTGTGTACTTAAGAGCGCTTTGTCTTCTGAGGAATGGAGCTGTTGACCGTCAGTTAAGGAAAGGGTCATTCTCTCAGCCTCCTCTTCCCCCCGGGGTCAGGCAGGGTCAGGATGAGAAGTGACCTTCTATTTGACTTTCCAGGGTGGCCAGCAGGACCTGGCTCCTTCCTGATAGATCCTGTCTTTATTTGAAATATTGGTCTTTTGTTCATTTTTCCCCCTTTTTTTCATTTTTGTTGTTTTTTTAATTGTGTAAGATGTGATTACCTTGATTACTGAGATTTTTTTTTGTTTTCTTTTTTCATTCCCATTTCTTTCAAAAAATTTTTTTTAAGTTCAAAGTTGTTTGTTGACTTTTGCATCCATTTTTTATGTAATCTTATTTGGTGGACACTGTGGGATTTGATTCTCACTGCAAAACAAAAGAATTCCAAGTTTCCACTGGAGTATTTAAATACATTTACTTCCTAAGCAGGTTCAGAAAATAATTTACACTCCCTTTTTTGCATTTTCTAAAATTAAAAATAAAATACCAGCTTATGGTGGAATAGTTGACATATAACATTTATCCCCTTCAAATTTTGTGCCTGAGGAAAGGGCCTTATTTGCCCACCACTTGAAGATAGTTTTGTTAAAATTTTGGGACAGTTTCATATCCTTCTGGGGGATGACTGTTGCTTTGTATTGCTTGGCTAATGGTCATATTTTGATGTACTTTATTTTGTGTTAAAGTTATGACCATGTTTTGCAGCTGATTCTGCATCTGGTTTTAAAACACTTGTTACACTTTAAGGCATCTTGGACACTTGCAAAGTCATATAGGAGGGCTTCAGAAAAGTAATGGAAAACTATTATCCAATTCCATTTCCCACAAATGATTTAACCCCCCTCGTGTGTGTTAGTGAGTGTGTGTGTGTAATACAAGTTTACTTGTTTATTCTCCTTATATTAGATATCTGGAACATGTTTTTTTTCTGTTTCGATAACAAGACACATGAATCCTGTATAATGATATTCTCATCGCCGCGTGGCATCCTTAAAAGGCCAGCTGTGAGTGGACATGAGCTTGACTTTGGAAGCATCAGTGTGGGTCCTGGGCACGGAATAAAGCGCGATCTGCCGTGCGTCCGTGCGCTGACACGCGGGCTGGAGGGAAGTGGTGATGACGTCCCTGCGGAGCTTCTAGTTTCCATCTTTCCACCGTCCGTCCTTCCCTCTGTCCACCGTCCGCCCGTAGCACAGGGCCTCGTGCCCAGTGTTAACGCCTGTACCCAGTGTGACCTCCTCCTCCTCCTCCTCCTCCCCAGGGCTCCGAGGAGCAGACAGTCGTGTACGTGGTGGGGAAGGCGGGCCGCCAGCACTGGCAGCACGTGTACACGGCGGTGACCAGGGGCCGCTCCAGAGTGTACGTCATTGCAGAGGAGTCGCAGCTGCGGCGTGCCATCAGGAGAAACAGCGTCCCCAGAAAAACACGCCTGAAACACTTCTTGCAAAGCAATCTGCTCGCCATGAGCCGTGCGTCTCCAACCCAGTCTCCGTCCCAGCCCAGCAGCTCCGGGGAGGGTGGAGGGGCCTGCACACCGCTGACGGCGTCCCCGCACCCTGCCGACGGCGCCGCCCCGAGCAGGGCCTCGATGTCCAGTGACTGCGTGTTCGCTTTTGCTGACGGATGGCGCTCACCTTCATGGCAGGAGATGGATACAGACGAGAGCCCGTCAAAAGCACACGGGTTCAAAAGAACCTGTGCTGTGCACGTGGATGAAAGCCCAAGCAAAGTTCGCATGGTAGGAGTGATGGCATGCTTATGTCCTGCAAACTTCAGTGTGCGCATAGAGGACCCCGTAGTTGTACAGACGGGCTGCCCTGCCTTCTCTGTCACACTTGCCCTTTGCTCTGCCCTGCTAAGGGGAGCGCTGTCCCTCATGGTACAGTGCTAGGGCTGCCACTTGGGGTGCCCCATCAGTGATGAGAGTAAAGTTCCAGAAACTTCTTGGTCAACCTGCACCCTCCTTCTCTGCCGTCCTTGTTCCCACTTCATACTCTTAAGACATAGGCTTCCAACACAGGCTTCCAACCTTATTTGGCCTACCGCCTATTGCTCGCTTTTCAGTGGGGGGAAACAAATTACTCTGCTCCCTGGTGCCAATCAACGTTTTCAGGCTAGCTTGTAATCCAGGGTCAAGTGTAGGCATCTGCTTGTGGAGGCCGTCCTCCCTCATTCCTGTGCCCTCCAGGGGCCCGCTCTGAGAAACCCCATTCTAAGAGTGTCTGCCAGAAGGGTATAGCACACAAGAGATTGGCATCATCGACAACTGCAAGTGTAGGACCGGGACTGGGACACAGTGCAGATGGGAAGTTATGGGAGCGAGGTTGTAGGGTCAAGGACACAGGAACAGTCAAGAAGGATAGAGAAATGCCCTTCTAAAGAGACCAGCCTTACTTCTGATTGCATCCAAGCACAGTTGAAGCAGTGGTTCAAACCCACCAACCGCTCCAACGGAGAAAGATGAGGCTGTCTGCTCCTGTGAAGAGTTACAGCCTTGGAACCCCTATATGGGGTCTCTGAGTAGGAATCAACTTGGTGGCAGTGGGTTTAGGAGTTTTGTGTTGGGTGAACTGATCAGACTTGAAATGCATATAGGCGACCCTAGCTGTAGACGGGTGGCGTGTGGGTGAGGAGAGACCAGCAGTGAGGTGATTTCAGTGGGCTGGACAACGTGAGTCGGCTTTCACCTTGGGTAGTCACAGGGAGAGGAGATGCTGAGGAGCAGGCTCGATGGGACTCGGGGACCTGGTAGGTTGGGCCTGTGGATGGCTCCTGGGTTTCTGTCTTGGGCCTCAGCCCACGTACCTATGTACCACTGAATCAGAAAACTGGGGAAAGAGGCAGAGGAGCAGATTTTATGGAAAAGTGATTATTTAAAAGAATCATACTCTTAAAACTCACTGCCATCCAGCTGATAGCAACTCATACCCACCCTGTAGGACAGAGTAAGAGACTAACTCTTTGTTGGAGTAGAAAGCCTAGTCTTTCTCCCTTGAAGCAGCTGGTGCTTTTGAACTGCTGACCTTGCGGTTAGCAGCCCAATGTGCAACCACTATGCCACCAAGGCACCATAACTGTCATACTGTCAAACGTTCCCCTCCCTCGGAGGTGGTAGAATCCTTGCTGACCTTGAACTTTATTCAGTCCCACAGATCAGCCCTTTGATACGGAACTTCTCAGCAAAACATCTTTGTAATTAAACCTGTCAATTCTTGCAGAAGCTTTGCAAAGAGAGGGCCTTTTCCTACAAATTACCTTATATATTTTAGAGCACATGAGATGGGGGATTATGGATTAAATGATCCATTGTCAGTTCTAAGTCTGCCAAAGCTTTTCCTCTGTGGCTGAAGCCAATCGTGCGAAGGGTCTGTGAACATAAAAAGGGACAGTCCTGCGATGGCCTGTTGGCACTGCATAATGATGGCGTTCCCTCCGTAAGTTCTCACAAGGCAGGTCAGGACCCTGTGACGTGACCTCCGCAGAAATCCTGGGAAATGGGGAGAGTGAGAATTCAGAGCGACAGGCCTGCAGGCCAAGTGTGGCTCTCTGTGTTTCCCTCCTCGTAGACTTTCCAGTGCATTGTGCTGTGCCATTTGGGAAAGATGGGACTCGATAACCAATTCCGGCCACGTTACCTCTCTATTCACATTGCTCCCAAAGTGCCAAAGCCACAGTGGGTTCTCTTGTATCCCTTCCTGAGGGAAAGCTGTGGTGCTTTCCTATCCATCATCCCTTTGGATTTGTTGGGGGGGAGGGGGCGGAATCCTTAAGCTGAAAATTTGATTTGATTATTATTAGTATTATTTTTGTCTAGCCACACCCATCTTCCCCAGAAGAAGGAAGACACAAATGTCTCTTTGGAAGAAAGCATTCATGAACATGGTTAAACTTTTTCATATAAAACCATGATTTCTAAAGAGGGACAGCATGCAGAATCCCTCAAGGAGAGACCGCCCTCTAGTGGGACAAATGGAGGAGCACAGTTCAGGGGATGTAGTGGCACAGTGGATAAAGTACACATCTGTTTACCAAAAGGTCAAATCCACCAGCCACTCCACAGGAGAAAAGACCTGACAATCTGCCCCCATAAAGATTAAACACCTAAAACCCAAGCCCATTGCTGTCAATCACTTTTGACTTGGATTGACCCGCTAAAAGATGACAGCTTGGAAGGCAGTGCGGTTGAGTTCCACCATGCTGCTGTGACTCAGAGTTGACCGGATGACATCCAACCCCACCACAAGTCTTGTGACTTGTCCTTATTTGTCGCATTTTTCTGTGGTGTTGAAATTTCACAGGGATTACACTGGTCCATTGATTTGTCCTTTGAAATCCTCATTAATCCCTAGAATGCGATGGTGGAATTGCAGTTTTGCCTTAACCACACCCAGGGCTGGCTTCGTGGGCATGCAGCCTCTGCTATCTGACAGGACCTTGGGCTTCGAAGGGCCCCATGCTTGGCTTCATCTCTGTTGCTGCCATCTTGGAATTCTTAAATTTCAAACAAGGGACTGGCATTTTCCTTTTGTACTGGGCTGCCAGACCAGTGCCAGAGGTGGGCACTGACCACACTGAGAATTTAAACACAGGTACTCAGCACATACCATATATACTCGAGTCTGAGCCAACCCGAATATCAGCCAAGGCACCTAGTTTTACCACAAAAACTACATTAACAATGTGCTGAAAAAACTCGGCTTATACACGAGTATATACGGTACTCTGTTGAACTACGTGATTGACATGGAGCTGGGCACCGTCTTGTGGTGAGCAGAAGCAACCTGATCCGGGAAGGAGGTGGCAGTCACACGTTTGGGCCTGCTTGAGTCTTGAAGCCCTGGGGAAATCAGATGTCAGCTTCCGAAGCAGTCAGAAAGCACTGAAGTACAGGGGTCTTTCACTGCTGTGGAGTTGAATCCGACTCATAGTGACCCCAGAGGACAGGGTAGAACTGCCCCTGTGGGATTTCAAGACTAACTCTTTATGGGAGTAGAAAGCTTCATTTTCTCCTGAAGGGTTTTGGACTGCCGACCTTGTGGTAAACAGCGCAGTGTATAACAGTAGCAAACTGTGCCCCCAGCCTCCAACTACAGAAGGTCTCTTTTCACACCATTAACGTTATGTTTGCTTCCTGTTCCCTAACAGGTGGGACAGCCGTCGCCACAAGTATCCTCCAGACTTCAGAATATGAGACTGAATAATTTAACACCCAGACAGCTTTTTAGCTCAGCAAAGAATCAGGAAACTTAAAGTTTGTTGCAGGCTACTCCAAAGTATACTCTGCCTGTTTCTGTTCAAGACCAAACGAAACACCATACCTTCGAAGCAGCGAGATAAAAGAAGAGGTCTATCAGTGGAGTTTTATTGGAAAGGATTTGTATTAGATGTTTTAAACACATTTTAATCAAAGAAACCTGGATGATTTCAACATGTGCCATCATGAGAATTGGAGTAACACTGAACGTAACTGGAGGGGAAAAGATGTTATATATTTTTACAAAGCAACTTTGTTCTTTAAAAATACACTTTTCTAGGATATCGGCTTATTAACTGGCATGATCATTGTGATGATCATGGCCAGTGGATTGAAGCAATGACAGACATCAACTGATTGCATCTGCTGACTTTAGGGTCACGTGTTACAGGACCCTAACGTGTTACATGCCTTCCGCAGAGTGGTCATCCGTCAGGATTGCCCCGACCAGCATTCCTTCCTGGTACTTCTTGGCCATGCCTTCCATACTGGGAGAATCAATTTGGAACATACTGTATTTGAGGGGCAGGGTGGAGGTGGGGGTGGAGATCTCCGAGCGTTTTGAGTATCTTAGATTTTTATTATTGTTAGACAGTAGGGGCAAATGTCTTATCTCATGTATAATAATATAACTCACTGTCATTACAATTTGCCTTTTAAAGTATATAGGTCAATGGGTCTTAGTATATTCACTGAGCTGTGTAACCATCATAATTAATTTTAGAACATTTTTTATTTCCCCCCAAAAGAAGTCTTTAACTACAGTATAGCCCTTGATTGCCATTTCCTCATCTGTTCCACTCTAAACCAAAAACTAAACTCGATGCCGTTGAGTTGATTCCAACTCATAGAACCCCATAGGACAGGGTCAAGCTGCTCCTGTGGGTCTCCGGCTGTCACTCTCTACAGGGGTAGACAGCCTCCGCTCTCCTATGGAGCAGTTAGCCCCTACTGTATAACCACCTACCTATTTTCTAACTATGGATCTGCCTGTTCCGGGCAGTTCATATAAATGGAATCATAAACATGATTACTGGCTTTATTACTGACTACTTTGACTTACTCCATTTTTCAAATTTTATCTATATTGTAGCACATATTCATAGATGTCTGTGGAAATGGCATGGGGGCTACATCTGACTCCACCAGCTACACAAAGGACAATCCAACTCCACATCTGCTCAAGAATGGTTCTATGAGGCAGATGGCAGGCATGCCTCTACCCTCCCCCCTCCTTTACCCTATTCCGACACGAACCATCCTTTCAAGGCATTCTGCTTGTGGATCTCGTACCCCCTGTGATACTCACAGAACTCATAGTCAGCCTGATTGTGGGGGCATATTAGGGAAGTTTAACAAGTCAGATCAGAAAACACTTATCCACAGCAGTATCTTTTCTCAGTCATGCCAACAGGTACTTTTCTCTGTGGTCCTTGGCTTCTCCACCAGGAGGTCCCTTGGCCTTTGCCCTTCTTGGATAGTGTCATAGAGCTCCTTTAGCACCCATTAATGCCTGCAGGGCATCCCGGTTTGCAAGCCAACCTCCGAACAGCACTCAGCGGTACTTGTTCTTTGGGCCCGGAAGCCCGCGCTCGGTCTCGATCTCCATGCTGCAGCTGCAGATGGGCCTTCATTTCTGATCGTCATAGGAGTCTTTCTTCTGCTTCGGAGATGGCTGACCTTATGCCTCCTGGGATGGGAAAACTGACAACCCAATAAGATTTTGCTACATCTTACAGGCATGCTGCCACCCAGTTACTGGGTAAGAGTGAATAAAGATTATATGTAGAAGAGCCGTCACAAGCAATTTCACTTTACTTCAGTTTTTTTTTTTTGTTTGTTTCTCGATGGTATTATATGGGTATGCTACATTTATCCTTTCATCAATTGGTGCATGTTGTAGCTATTTCTACTTGAATATTTTTATCATGAAGGGGTGCTGAGTTTTGTCAAGTAATTTTTATCTGTTGAGATAATCATGTAATTTGTGTCTTTTCTATTAATATGCGTATTTCATAATTTTAGTTTCCTACATTGAACCATCCTTGTTTTCCTGGAATGAATTCCACTTGGTCGTAGTATAAAATCCTGTTTTGTATGTTACTGTATTTGGTTTAAGGAGCCCTGGTGCCATAATCGGGTTAAACATTGTCCTGCTAATTACAAACTCCACATTTCAAACCCACCACTGCTCTGGGGAGAAAGATAAGTCTGTCTGTTCCTATAAAGATTTACAGACTTGTACCAGAGCATGATGTACACGGGTACAGATGAAAGCTCGCAACACAAGGAATCCAAGACAGACAAACCCCTCAGGACCAATAAAGAGGGTAGTGATGCCAGGAGGGGAAGGGGAAGGTGGTGGGAGAAAGGGGAACCAATCAAAACGATCTACTATAACACTCTCCCAGGGGGAAGACAACAGAAAAGTGGGTGAAGGGAGACAGCAGTCCGTGTAAGACATAATTTTTTTTACTATAATTTATCAAGGATTTATGAGACAGAAGGGTGAGGAGGGGGGGAAATGAGCTGATACTGAGGGCTCAAGTAGAAAGAAAATGTTTTGAAAATGATGATGCCTAAAAACGAAAGAGAATGATGATGGCAACATATGTACAAATGTGCTGGACACAATGGTTGTATGTATGGATTGTGATAAGAGCTGTAAAAGCCCCCAATAAAATGATTTAAACAAAAAAGAAAATGATGTACAACCTTGCTCTGTCCTATGTGATCTATATGAATCAGAGTTAATTTGAGGGTTTGGTCTGGGTTTGGTAGTTGAGTTGCAGGAATGTTGAGGAGGATTTTTGTCATCAGGTAAACAGTCTTATTGATCTGTCGTTTGCTTGGTGTTGCTGTCAGCCTAATACTGACATCATAAAGTGAACGGGGAATGCCCCCTCTTTTCCTTGTTTGGAAGACGTAGACTTGGCACTAATTCTTAACTATTTCCTAACATTCACCATTGGTGCTCTCTGACCTGAAGCATGTCTGTGGGTTTCATTCAGATCACTCGTTCATTCTTGCTGTGACGGTTTCAGAGTTTTTATCTGTAAGTCAGCTTTGATGATTTGTGCCTTTGTATGAATGTATCCATTTCATCTAAACTTCTAATTTGATGGAATACACGTGTTCCTAGCGGTGCAGTGGTTAAGTGCCGAGCTGCAGACTGCAATGGTGGTGACGTGAACCTGCTGACTCCCTTTGGGAGAAAGCTCTGATGGCCGCTCCTGGGAGCATTCAGCTTTGGGACCGCTGAGGAGCAATTCTGCACTGCATGCAAGAGCAGTTCAACACTAGAGCCGTGTGTAATCCTTTTTATTTCTGGGTGGCTGGTAGTAAGTGCCAGTCTGCATTCCTGCTCATCATCTGAGTCATTTCTCTGTTTTCTCTCTGTCTCTCAATTTTGTTGATTTTTTCAGCGAACCAAGTTTTGGTTTCACTGATTTTCTCTATTCTATCACTTTAGTTTCTTCGTTATGTTTGGTCTGAGTTTTATATTTTTAAATGTGTTAAGGTAAAATGTTAGGATGCTGATTGGAGGTTTTTCTTCTTAATAGATTTTAGACTTTATGACACTTTAAAATTTACAGAAAAGTTGAGGTTGTACAGGAAGTTCTAGAATAATTTTACCTCTCCTGAAGCTCTCACCCTTACAGTTTTTTACTATTCGCATCTTGCATTGTACAAGAGTTTTTTAAATCCCATTATCTTTTAATTCAATTTTTCATAAACATTCTGAAGCCCTCTTACATTTGTTATAACTAATGAATCAAAATTGATTCATTATTAACTAAGTTGCATAATCTGAGTCTTTTGCCTTTCTATATAAACTTTATAACCAAATTTTTTATATTTAGTTTCTCATTTATCATTACTGAGATTATATTTAGATTGCATTGAATCTATAGATCATGTTGGGAACAACTGACATCTTAATATTAAAATTTTCTACTAATGAATATGTTCTTTCTTTTTATTTAGATCTTTATTTCCTCAGTTTGAAATTTTCCTTATATATATTATTTTTTAATGTAGGCATTTATGGCTATAAATTTCCCTCTAAGCACTGCTTTAATTGCCTTCCATAAGTTTTAGTATAATTTCATTTTTATTCATCTAAAAATGTTTTCTAATTCCTTTTTATTTCTGTTTTGACATACTAGCTCAGTGGTTCTCAACCTTCCTAATGGCATGACCCTTTAATACAGTTCCTCATGTTGTGGTGACCCCCAATCATAAAATGATTTTTGTTGCTACTTTACTTTAATTTTGCTTCTATTAAGCATCAAAGCCCACATGGAAGAAGCACATTAGCCTGTGTGAGTACGAGGTATAGAAGGGACCAGGTATCAGACATCAAAGAACAAAAAAATCATATCAGTGGGTGCCCACCTTCCCGTTATGATCACTGAAGACAAATGTGTGCATAAGCAAATGTGGTGAAGAAAGCTGATGGTGCCTGGCTATCAAAAGACATAGCATCTGAGGTCTTAAAGGTTTGAAGATAAGCAAGTGGCCATCTAGCTCAGAAGCAACAAAACCCACATGGAAGAAGCACACCAGCCTGTGTGACCACGGGGTGTCAAAGGAACAGGTATCAGACATCAGAACAAAAAAAAAATCATATCATTGTAAATGAGGGTGAGTGCAGAGTGGAGTCCCAAAGCCCATCTGTAGGCAACTGGACACCCACTTACTGAAGGGTTGCAGGGAGGAGACTAGCCAGTTTGTTGCAGGGTAGCAACGATGAAACATATAACTTTACTTCTTAAATGCTTCCTCCTCCCACTATCATGATCCCAATTCTACCTAACAAATCTGGCTAGACCAGAGGATGTACACTGGTACAGATGGGAACTGGAAACACAGGGAATCTAGGACAGATGACCCCTTCAGGACCAGTGCTGAGAGTGGCAATACCTGGAGGGTGGGGTAGAAAGGGTGAACCGATTACAAGAATCTGGATATAACCTCCTCCCTGGGGGATGGACAACAAAAAAGTGGGTGAAGGAAGACATCGGACAGTGTAAGACATGACAAAATAATTTATAAATTATCAAGGGTTCATGAGGGAGGTGGGGAGTGGGAGGGAGGGGGAAATGAGCTGATATTAAGGGCTCAAGTAGAAAGGAAATGTTTTGAGAATGATGATGGCAACAAATATACAAATATGCTTGACACAATGGATTTTACGTATGGATTGTGATAAGAATTGTACAAGCCCCCAATAAAATGATTTTAAAAATTTTGCTTCTATTATGAATTGCAATGTAAATATATGGTATGCAGGATGTATTAGGCGACCCCTGTGAAAGGGTCATTCGACCTCCAAAGGGGTCGCAACCCCCAGGTTGAGAACTGCTGTAGGAGTTATTTAGGACTTTATGGTCCTTCACAGTGGAATGAGCTAGGGCAGAGATGATTTGGACCCCACTATCTAGACCTGCCGTATATGGGCAGAGTCTGTTTCACGAATGGGTCCTGGGGGAGGAAAGGAGCCCTTCACCTCTTGGCCACACTAACCAGTAATTTTGCCTTTTCAAATGGAAGTTTGAGAGGATGAGAAATGCCTGTTGTCTGCTCCTCTGGTACAATGTAGTAAATGTGTGGAAGCTGAGGTGAGATAGGGCCAGTAATTTTAGCTACTTTTGTTTGGAAATGAACTTTTATCAAGCTGAGCTGGAGGAATAAGGAATAGGTTCTGGCTCAAAAACATCCTTGCTGTTTTTACCAAATTTTAATAGTTTTGAATAAGTGTGGTTCTTTTTCCATTTATTGTATATGCAGAATTTTCCCAAGGATGTATATGAGGGGCCACGCCCCCAAATCGGAATTTTCCTTCCAAGCTATGTATTTAAACTTTGTTACAAACGACATTATCATCTTCAAAGTACTCTCCATTACACTTCATACATTTGTCAAATCTGTGATTCCATTCTTTTTTTTTTCTTTTTCCGAATTCCCAAGATGCTTTTTTTTTTTTAAATTGAAAAGGTTATATTTAGCATTAGCCAGTTGGGCTTAGTTTAGATGATTCCAATTTTGTTGGCAACATCTAAAGTGTCATAATCAGGAGCCAGTTGAACATATGCCTTCTTCTCACCGTCAGGCCTGATCAAGGTGTTGACCTTGGCTACGTCAATGTCAGAAGAGCTTCTTCACAGCCTGTTTGATCTGGTGTTTGTCGGCTTTGACATCCACAGTGAACACAAGTGTGTTGTTATCTTCGATCTTTATGGAAGACTGTGGTCCAGGGGAACTCGATGGCATAATGGTCCTGCTTATTTCTCCTGGAGGTGCTCTTCCGAGGGCATTGGGGTTGCCTCCTTAGTCTTGGGCCACCGGAAGGTGGGTGACATGCAGATCTTTTTTGTGTGGCTGTGGGCGCCTTTCAGCACGGCCTTCTTGGCTGTTAAAGCCTTTGCTTTGGCTTCTGTTTGGGAGGGGCAGGAGCGTCCTTCTTCGCCTTCGGCGCCGTCTTCGTGTAAAGCTGCATTCCATTCTTGAGGACACTTTTCAAACTCATCTGTCTGGATGGCTGACCGCTCCTCCCTTGTTTTTTTCTTCGCCTCTTCTACTTCATGAGATTACTGTCCTTTTATGTTCCTCTTCGTTCTTGGAAACAAAGGTGCACAGAGTGACGTCAGGTGTGTGGGGTGCGAGAGACATGCTGCTTTTTGCCAAAAACTGGCACCCAGAGATGGCTGTGTGAGTAGATGCACTGTCGTGGCAAAGACACTCCGCTGTCTGCCACAAATCAGGCTTCTTGTTGGTCACACACTGTTAACGCTATCTTTTCAGAACCTCTAACTAGAAAGCTGGATGAACAGTCTGACCTGGTGGAACGAACTCCAAATGCACTCTGAGCCGACATTTTCTTCCGTTCAGGAAGTTGATGGACGTCCAGAACAAAATTTGTCATCAATCAATATTTCACCTTTTTTGAACTGAGAAAATCACGTGTACACTTGAGTTTTTCCCATAGTGCTGTCTTTGTAAGCTGTGCTCAACATCACATGGTTTCTGTGGCATTTTTCCAAAGCGGGAAATAAAATTTCACAGCCGCATGCTGTTCTCTTAAATCGGCTATCACAAATACATGAGGTTCAAATGAAACTGCTTTTATGAAAAAATTCACGGTGATCAGAAAGAAGCTTCCCAGGCAACATCACTGGGTGCACTAACTCAGAGCGACTTG